AGTGTATCTTTTGTTAGACCTTTGGTTAGGAGTCGAGAACCGGGAAGAAACACCCGAAGACACCAACCTTGCCAATGTATCATTGATCTGTTCCATCCCCTCCTTCATCTCATGTTGATTTCTTTGAGCTTCTAGCTGGCCTTGTCTTATCTCATCTTGACTTTGTTGCAACTCTAATTTCAACTCATTCTGGCTCTGCTTCAATGTGAGCTTCATCTCATCTCTCATCTCATCCTGGTGTTGAAACTGTTGTCTCATCTCATAACTCTGGTAAGTAAATCCATCCTTTATCACCTGTACATCATGCTTCAACGAGTCCACATCCTGGCCCATCTTAGAAATCTCGAACTTGGTTTTCTTTCGTGTCTCATCACTCGATTGGGGTTTCTTAGGCAAGCTGAGATCACTTTTGATCCCAGTTGAAGTAGCTGGATACTCTTGGTCTTGTCTTCCTTGTAGTCCTGGTGTTTGAAATCGGGAGGGAGCAAACTCACTCTCTGCCTGCGACATAGTCCAATACCCTGTACTGTCTCTGGCCTCACCCCTCAAAAGTATCTGTGCAGGCACATGGGAAGCTGCTTCTGTTCCACCTATAGCTCCATGCTTCTTTTGATCGGGAAAGGAATCCCTGGGCTCCAAAGGCATAGTATCCTGGGCCTCCAACTGCAAGTCCCTTGGACCCCCCTTAAATACTACTGTATCATTTGGCTCTGATGTCCTCCGGATTGTCCCCTTTGGGACAACCACAGAATCCTCGATCAAGTTACCATGCTCCAAAGTTCGAGGACTCCCTTCGGAACCTCTCAGCTCTATCTTCTGCTCCATCCTCAAATCTCAGTGAAGATCCCACATCTGACACCAATGTCGCGCGCCAGATCGCCGCCGAGGACCCGTATGCTCCCTCGGAGAAGACCTGGTTGCAATTGAGGGGATGCGGAGATGTTATTCACGGGCGCCGAGCTTGTTTGGTGCTTCAGCTGTCACTGGGACTTAGAGATGGCATTTACATATACAAAACAATGTTATACGGGATTTTTATACTCTATTTCCACACACATATAATAACAGTCAACTTCAAAATGTCTTTCATGCCTTTATGGCTCACAAATATAAAAAAATGTCTATAATAGTGTCAGGGATCTCAAAGATTCACTCAGCTCCGAAAACAAATCGTCTCCATACCCAAGGACCCACTGCTCCACTCGGGGACAATCACTCAAATATAATAATTAATGTCTATAGCTCTCTCATCAGCTTATATAAGAATAATCTCTGATCTGAAATCAACTAGACTTTGAGGTATTTCATGCTTCCCAGATAAACTCTGCTCCGGAGTAATAAACCACACCCTGAGTAGCTCAGCTCCGGAATGTATTACACATCCTCTGGAGTATCTCTGCTCCGAGCTGTATAACACCTCTTCTGGAGCTCTCTGCTCTGGGATGTATAACACCTCTTCTGGAGTATCTCTGCTCCGAGCTGTATAACACCTCTTCTGGAGCTCTCTGCTCTGGGATGTATAACACCTCTTCTGGAGTAGCTCTGCTCTGGGATGTATAACACCTCTTCTGGAGTAGCTCTGCTCCGAGCTGTATAACACCTCTTCTGGAGCTCTCTGCTCTGGGATGTATAATGCACCTTCTGGAGTAGCTCTGCTCTGGGATGTATAACACCTCTTCTGGAGTAGCTCTGCTCCGAAAGGAATAATGGACACACCTTCTAGAGTATTTATGCTCTGAGATATAAAACTCGGGAATATCAATCCCTAAGGAGATTAGACCGGAATTAAATAACTCACGGGAGTATCTCTGCTCCGAAAGGAATAATGGACACACCTTCTAGAGTATTTATGCTCTGAGATATAAAACTCGGGAATATCAATCCCTAAGGAGATTAGACCGGAATTAAATAACTCACGGGAGTATCTCTGCTCCGAAAGGAATAATGGACACACCTTCTAGAGTATTTATGCTCTGAGATATAAAACTCGGGAATATCAATCCCTAAGGAGATTAGACCGGAATTAAATAACTCACGGGAGTAATCCAATATGGCGGATCAAGGGGAATTCTGGGTAGCAGAAGAGTGACGTCACAAAATGGCTACTCCAAAACTGTATGATTCAATATGGCGATCAACAGAGACGAAAGCAGGACCATAAATTTCAGTTATAAATGATGTAAATGTCTATAACAATTGGAAATGTCAATCCCTAAGGAGATTAGATCCCACGTTACTAGACCATAAAAAAAACTCTCTGGAGATCAAAGTCTATACAGTAAATTATAACTCACCAACACTTTGGCCATACAATCGCAACAAATATAATCCAACTACTTTATACTGTACGTAAATCCTATCACTACACGATCATCAACGCTCCTTGTATTCTATTAAATACACACCAACAAAATAATCCAATAAAGTCTTTTACACATGTGTCTGCTATATTCCAATGTCCACACTGCGCGAGGTCTTGTCCATTCAACTTTCCAAGATCAACTGCGCACATGGGCCAGATTCGATGCTATCTCTCCTGTCTGATGATATGCAGCGGGAAACCCTCTGATTGGTTGAATAGGTTTTGTTTACTCCATTTGGTGATGCATTCTGGGTAAATTACCATGACAACGTCTGGCCACCTGTCAAGGCACTTTTGACATTTCCCTCCCGTATAACACAAAATCCCAAATATGGTATAGGTTGAACAATTTTAATAAAAGGGTTCCCAATGAAAGAGCATGATTACTCCCTCCACGTTTTTCTAGGTGAGCCACTAAACTCTAAGCCCATAATCTTCCCCCGATACCCCACCCCTAGTTTAGAATACATAATTAGATAGAAACTCCTTTCCCCGACATAGCATATAATCCACACTATTTAAGAACAACATATTTATATTACTGTATGTATTTTAATGTTCAAAAAGACTAAAAAATATATGAACTCACAATTTCACGTTTAAAATTACCAGAAATTACGCTCTAATTGCTACAGAAAAATATGGCACTCACCACTACTAATTAGTAATTATACTCCTTAGTTATACACTTTAATCATGCACCAGAGCGTCCTTTAAAGTTATGAAAATCCCAAAAAATAGCGCTGACAATCAGTTTTCTTAAATTGGTCTAACAATGGTGTCTCACAAATTGAACAATTACATCATTCCCGTCTCAAACAAAAGAATCACTACATGGTGTCTCAGAATTCCAACAATTAACATTTATGAGCAAAACTGTCTCACATTTTTGTGACAGTATTCATTATGTCTGTGTATGATGATTAGTGCCGCAGATATAGATAGTACCTGTCTATATAGTTTTTTTTACTGGGAATGATTGAATATGAGTTTTACTTGTGTATGGATTTAAAAATGATTTTATTGAAAAAGTGAATATTTTTGAAAAAATGAAAAAATTTGGAAAAAATGAAAAATTTAAAAAAATGAATTTTTGGAGAAAATGTAATTTTTTAAAATTAACCCGGGATGATATCAATATCATCCCTGATATCTAATCCCTGTCCTGTCCCAAATATGTGATTTATCACATGCTACTATATATACCTAATATTGGTCTGACAATGGTACTACTCCAGTAAAACCGTTGTAAATATTCACAAATAAATGAAAAAATTGCAACAAAATGTAAACCTAGTGTAATCAATAACCATTGGTAAGTAAAATGACATATCAAAAATCTAGAAAAATCTAAGTGGTGGAAAACCTTTAAATCACCATTTATACCCCCTGGGGTAATTTTATGAAGGGGTACTATGATAAACATTAATAATTTCTGTTATGTTACTGCAATCGCAATAAAATTTTCAGGGATCATGCACCTATATATAGTTGAGTTGTCACAGCAAGTTTGATATAAATTGGTCAATTGGTTACCATAGCAACACAACTTAAATGCTCAAAATCTTTAATATTTCAGTAAATTTGAAGCTTCCTATACTAACTGATGTTGCCATTTCTCTTCAAATCATTTAGAAATGAACATAAAGTTACCCTTAAAACATATATGGGTAGTGTTTAATAAGATAACATGATTAATTTGATGAATTATATGATATCTTTGTCTCTGGACTATATTTTATTAGGTGACCATCACTCTATCCACTCAAAAGTGGGCGTGGCACTTTTTGGTGATAATTTCCTAGAAATGTCATTTTACAGGATCAGTCACAGTTATATTTATAGAGGTCATGGATGCTGATGTAATTATTTAATGTAATGAGTCTGAACATGATTGGTCAAGGGGTTGCCATAGTAACAGAGCATAATAAACGCAAATAGTATAGTACATATGTTCTATAAACACTTATAATACTGGATGAGCATGGCATGTGGGATGTTGAATTGGTCGAATAATGTGCATTCATGGCTTAGATTATTTTGTATGCCTTATTTTCATCTAGTATTATTAAATAATTAAAATAATAAACATTGTCTATGTGATATTCCATTATACCAAATTACAAGCATTATTTAAATATTGCAATTTAACCAAAAATATCCTTGATGTGATTGCAAATTTAATCTGCATACCTAGGAATAAGTTGATTATGAAAAGATAAATTACATTATGTAATTAGGTTGAGTTATACATGTAATGCTTCAATACACAAAATTGTCGGATGTCATTTGCCTTGCTGATTGAGCTGTGATGAGCTGATAAGCAGTGCTGAAAAGCTGTGTTGGTAGGTCACACTACCCTACCACGTGACCACATTTAAAAAAGGATACAGGGTACAGTTAAGTTGCAAATGGAGCGGGTATTCTCTATATTTGTCCATTGGGCTTTTCTGGTAATAATACGTTGCAAACTGCTCGATGAATCTATAAAATGTATAGTAGAACACTTGGAATATATTTAAAATCTAGTATAACTTCAGAACTATGGGAATAAACAAACGACCTCCATTTGCAACTTCGCTGTCGCCTGTATTTCTTTTAAAGGAATACAGGATACAGTATGGGGGTATAGTAGTGTGTAGGTGAGCTGAAAAGTTGGTTAGCTGTATTTGGACACAGGTATGATTTTGATTTAATTGTCCAGAAACAAGCTGAATCCCCAAGTCCACATTTAATGGTGCGGTATCCCCAAGTCCACATTTTGGTGTGGTATCCCCAAGTCCACATTTTGTGGTGCGGTATTCCCAAGTCCACATTTTGTGGTGCGGTATTCCCAAGTCCACATTTTGTGGTGCGGTATTCCCAAGTCCACATTTTGTGGTGCGGTATTACCAAGTCCCCATTTTGTGGTGCGGGATTCCCAAGTCCACATTTTGTGGTGCGGTATAACCAAGTCCCCATTTTGTGGTGCGGGATTCCCAAGTCCACATTTTGTTGTGTGTATCCCCAAGTTTACATTTGTGGTGCGGTATCCCAAAGTCCACATTTTGTGGTAAGGTTGTGTAATTGTGTTGATACACAGTCTATTGTATATATAGCTGAAGATTTTTTTCTTTGTCTTAGGGTTACTATTATTGTGACATTACACTATACCTCCTTTATCGAGACAATTATATACTTGTATATTCTCATGACATGTAAATGGTAGATATATAATAATACTGTACATACAGTCTTGCTTCATTCACATATAGTTACTCAGTCATAGGGAACCATCCATAGCAATTAGCTAAGCTGTTATGTGATAAAATATGAATTACATGTAGTTGAGATAGTTTAGTGTAGTTAAGATAGTTAACATAATTTAGTTAGAGTAGATAAGATATACAAGATTAGTTAAGTAGTTAGTTAAGTACTAGTTAAGTAGAAATCATAATCATGGCTGAGATGATGGATGTGGATAATGATGAGTGCATACTTTGTAATGAAACACTCTCTGACAGTACTGTGCCAACTGTAAAACTGAGTGAAAAGGGCATGTCAGGTTTACAAAAGGCAATTAATGCTAGAAATGATAGCTTTACTATCGCAGTTGGGCAAGTTGTTCATGTCCATTGTAAAAAAGAGTATACAAATACTAATGTCATATCTGCTTTGAAACGGAAACTAAGTGCACCAGCAGAAAGAAATTCCAAAAATCTAAGATCTCAAGAAGTCAAATTCAATTATAAGACAAATTGCCTATTTTGTGGACAGGGTGACCCATATCAAGGTAGAAAGACTGATTTCAAACTGAACCCTATAATGACCCTAGACTATAGTTCCGCATGTTTAAAAATATGCGACAAACTTAATTCGCCATGGAGCGATGAAGTAAAAGATCGGATGCTTTTTTGTCCAGACCTTCCAGCAGCAGATGCTGTGTACCATAAAGTATGTAGCACAAACTTTAGAACTGGGAGGGATGTCCCCCGAATTTTTGAACAGAGTGGTTCAAAGGTTAAAAAATGTGGGAAGGCCACAAGAAGAAGAAAGGGAGAATGCTTTTAAAATGGTAGTAAAATATCTAGAGCAAGCTGAAGATGAGCAAATTTCAATTGAAAACAGATTGGAAAAAATGAATGAGTATTTAGAAGGAAATGAGCCTTTCAGTTGCCGTTAGAGGCATTTGTGCAAACACAAATAAAATTGATGATATTGATTTAGATACAGTGTAATTGCATTGTCATGGAAAATGAAAAGTTTTCAAGCATTGATAATTAAGTCATGGTATAAATATAAAAGAGTATTGTATATTTTTGAAGTTCATCTCTCAATATAAAAAGGCAATTTGTATCCTTGCAGAAGCAAACCATGATCTAGACATGTTATTCGAAAAGCTGAAATAGTCTACCCCCCCCCCAATTATGTCAGAATCATTTTTATGCACTTTCCCATGTTCCATTCATCTACAAAATCATGTTCTATTGGATTGTACTCATCAATAGTACAATAATAAGACAAAAATTCGGCTGATACACTTCAAATGCAAAACTTATTAGGTCAAGCTAACCCTGACCCTAAAATTGAACCTGAAAAATTAACGCATTTATGATATTTTTAGCATTTTTTTCTGACAAACCTATTAAGCTCAAGTTTTGATATTGACCATGCCTAATCTTTGACATTAGTTCAGCTAGCATGAATTTTTACAAGTTACCATGAAGCCTGATAATAGAGTTATACATAAATATAGTGAAAAATGATCCAAAATATAATACAAGGTAGGGTATAAACATACACAAAAATACATTTTCTGACAATTTTTAATTTTCTGTTGAATAGATTTCTCAATTTTAATATGTCTCTGATGCATATCCAAAAAAAGAACTACAATTTTGTAATGAGAGCCGAATGAGATTTTTTTAAAGATATATCATTGAGATTTAGGGGGTGATTAAGGGGGGTATCTTCATCCCTTGAATTCTTAGTCTTCCACTGCTTAGATTTTTCTAGATTTTTGATATGTTGTTTCACTTACCAATGGTTATTGATTACACTAGGTTTACATTGTGTTGCAATTTTTTCATTTATTAGGAGGCCCCCCGGCAGGGGCCTCCTATCAATTTTGTAGATATTATTCTTTATTATTCTTTATTATTATTATTTATTCTTCCTCCCTCTTTTTCTCCTACTTCCGACTAACTTTCAACTAGCTACTACATAGTCCTACTAGGGACCTGGGCTGAACTTGGTGGGAAAGGAATTTTTATCTAGGTCAAGGTCAAAGGTCAAAATCTAGGTCAAATCTAAGCTTTTTTTAAGTTTCTCAGATTTTGTCCTCATACTTCATTATTTCTTGCGATGAATTAAAATGTAACTAGATATAAGCATTCTCTACAAATTGCTCACTATATGTACGCGTTAATTTTTTACCGTTTTTGAGTTATTTGACGTCAAAAATCGGCAAAAATCGGTCATTTTTCAATTTGCTTCAAATGAACCAGATTTTTTTTTAAAAATCATCTACAAGATCTCAGGAACTCAAATATTTCCTTACTTTTGACCTCCGACCTTTGGTTGACCTTCGGTGACCTTCGAAAGGTAAAAAAGTTGTTTTTTCAAATTGATTTTCTGGATTCAAATTTAGGTATATTTGATCACAAAGGACCCATTGAGGTCTAAAAAAGTAAAATTTGCAAGGTCAAAGGTCAAGGTCATCAAACTAAATCACAAACTGTGTTTTCTAAGTTTCTCAAAATTGGAGACTACAAATCAATATTTTTTCATGAAAGTCAGGATATATATTCCTCTATAGGTTCTACACATATTAACAATTGACTATTTATTAAAATTGTGTACCAGTTTTGAGATATTGGAACTCAAAAACTGAAAAAAGGTCAAATTTCGAAACTTTTCAAGACTAAATTTCAACTTGCTTCAAATTGACCAATTTTTTTTAAAACTCATCAACAAGTTGTCAGGATTCCAAATCTGACCTTACTTTTGACATTTGACCTTTATTTGACCTTCAGTGACCTCCGAAAGGTCAAAAAAGTTGATTTTTCAAATCAATTTTCTGGATTCAAATTTAGGTGCATTTAATCACAAAAGACCTTAAGAGGTCTAAAAAAGTAAAATTTGCAAGGTCAAAGGTCAAGGTCATCAAACTAAATCACAAACTGTGTTTTCTAAGTTTCTCAAAATTGGTGACTACAAATCAATATTTTTTCATGAAAGTCAGGATATATATTCCTCTATAAGTTCTTCACATATTGGCGATTGATTATTTATTAAAATTGTGTACCAGTTTTGAGTTATTAGAACTCAAAAACTGAAAAAAGGTCAAATTTTGAAACTTTTCAAGACTAAATTTCAACTTGCTTCAAATTGACCAAATTTTGTTTCAAAACTCATCTACAAGTTCTCAGGATTCCAAATCTGACCTTACTTTTGACCTTTGACCTTTGATTGACCTTCAGTGACCTCCAAAAGGTCAAAAAAGTTGATTTTTCAAATCGATTTTCTGGATTCAAATTTAGCTATATTTATTCACAAAAGACCTTCTGAGGTCTAAAAAAGTAAAATTTGCAAGGTCAAAGGTCAAAGTCAAAGGTCAAGGTCATCAAACTAAATCACAAACTGTGTTTTCTAAGTTTCTCAAAATTGGAGACTACAAATCAATTTTTTTTACTGAAAGTCAGAATATATATTCCTCTAAAGGTTCTACACATATTAGCAATTGATTATCTATTAAAATTTGGCTCCAGTTTTGAGATATTATAGCTCAAAAACTGAAAAAAGGTCAAATTTCAGAATTTTTCAAGGTCAAATTTCAACTTGCATTAATTCGACAAAATCTTTTTTAAAAATCATCTACAAGTTGTCTGGAGTCAATATATGATCTTAAATTTGATATTTAACCTTTAGTTGACCTTCTAATTGACAATGCCTACAGGGCCTCCGTAAGATTGCTTGCAATCTTCTAGTTTTTCAAGATTTTACTGGAGTATACGGATGTCATGTAAACAGACGATGTCCATATTTCATGTATTTAATAGTAAGCCTTTCCATTTGAATGATTTTTAGTATAATTCACACTTACTCTCTTTGAATCATAAATCTAGCCTTTTATTTTTCCCTGGGATGGTAGTCGCCAAACAAATATTGAATATTTGCTGTATATGGGAGACAACATTCATTTAAATCATACAGATGAATGGACGCTCATGGTGATTCACAAAAAGTTTTCATAGAAAGATGGCAGAATGTTTCCGTACCAAAATGTACAAGCTCCACGCTGAATTTTAGTCAATTAAGCCTTATTATCCCAACGAACGAAGTTCTGTAGGGATATAGTGAAGCCCTCCGTCCGTCAGTCCGTCAGTCCGTCAGTCTGTCAGTCCGTCAGTCCGTCAGTCAGTCCGTCTGTCTGTCCGGAAGATAACTTGAATACTGGTATACAGATTTTCTTCATATTTGGTTGAAAGATGTATACTGGTCAATAGTTTTACGCAAAAAAAAAATTTTTCAAGATGGCTGCCAGTTTAAAAATGGCGGAAATTTTTCGCAAAAATCTTATGTTTTTCATTTTAAACTAAAATAATAAATATTATTAATTGAAATTTTGGTAGTATATTAATAACATCTATCTATTTAACATATATCCCCGGTTTTTCACCCTGACCCCAAGGGGCCGTAAATGGGGGATCGGGAAAACAGGAATTTGCGTTAATTTTGAGATGTTTTTGAAGTATAGCTTTATTATACTCAAATGAAAGGCAATTTAGAGGAGATTGTAAATATTGTAGCGTTTTTCTGATTCGGGCCTCAAAAATTCAAAATGGCCGCCTAATGCGGGATTTCGCAATTATTTTCTAATCTCCTCAAAGTATGGCTATATTATACTCAAATTGAAGGTATTTCAGAGTAGATCACAATTATGGCATTGTTTTTCTGATTTGCGCCTCTGAAAATTCAAAATGGCTGACTAGAGCAGAAATTCGCAATTACTTAGAGTTATCTTGAAAGTATGGTTACATGATAGTACAATGATTTAAAATATTTATTGAAGGTAAGAGTAGATGGTAAATATTGCATTGTGGCTGTACAGATTGATGATTTACTTAAGTATCGAGTGTTCGTTGGGATTTGCTACTCCGTGGAGTTGCCATTTTCTAGTTAGTTTTTGGGAGCCCCAATAGGATTCAAAACATCAAAAATAATTGTCTACAAATTTTGGAGCTTTTTAAGAGAAATAGTGAGAATTTCAACTAAATAATTGTTGACAAGCTGTGTAAACACACAAGGAACATAAGAGTTGAAAAAATAGTGGATTATATTGGATATTTATTGGATAATTCAACTGTCTTTCCAGCAGGTATTTTGACATTCAATGACTTCAATATTATTTTGTGCACACACATAAAACATTTGTATATGGAATACATACAGTGGCTTTCTAGTAGCATATATAGAGATTATCCTATATGAGGTTCAGGATATTGGGATTATCCCGAGGCTAATATAATATATTTGCTCGAGGGCCGCAGGTCCCGAGGGAAAATATATTATATTGGCCAAGGGATAATCCCAATATCCTGAACCGACTATAGGATAATATGTTTATCCCATACCAATCTTGGTCATCTGGTTAACATTGTTCAATCATGGAAATATTTTAGAATACTCATGTCCTTGTTTTCTTGGCCGTGGGCGGATTTTCCTGTTCTCTCAAATATTCCCATATTTATTTTTCTCTAATTTTTAATTGATTAAGTGGATGCTCCTTCCCTTTTTTAAACCATCAAACAGATCCCGATAGTCTGTGTTTTCTCCATTGTCGTTTACAGTCATTACGCGAACGTTACAAATTATGAACAAATTTGCGAGCTGCGATTATGACGTAGCGGGCAGATATACTATATCTGCCCGCTCGGAGCGGGACGTAAAGCTATATCTGCCCGCTGATGAAAATATAAGTTTTTACAAACCGGCTTTATGTACCTGTAACACGTCCAAGTATGGGATAAAAACTAATCCCCTCACATAAAATCAGTGAGGCCTCTAAAGGACTGTTCTGCAACACTAAGCTATATTGGTGGTTAACTGAGTAAATTATGACGCACAAACGAAAACGCAAGAAAAATCACAAGGGTAACTAGCGAAAATCGTATACATCAACCCCAACTTCATTGGATGAGGATGAGAGTACAATAGTATCACCATCACCAAAGCGCGTAAACCAGGAGAAGGAAGTCAGTTCTATTTATTATGATGAATCATTGTCACAATCTATTGAAGAAGTTGACCAACCCTTGATTTCTGAGCCAAAGGCACCCACAGAGCAAATACCTCCCTCCCCATCAAAGGCCTTTCAAATGGATCTCATAAATGATATAAAGAGACAACTGATTGCTGCAGTGAAAGATGAATTGATCAAAGTTGTTAGAGAGGAACTTGTAAATGAAATAACTTTGATGAGGAAGAAAGTTGATGAGCTGGAAAGGAACCTAAAAGCAGAATTAAACTCATTTAAAGAAGGTGCATTAGCCCTAGAGCACACAATCAACAAACAAGTAAAGGACATGGACAAAAGATTACATGAACCAAACAGACAGCCAATTTAGATTCACGTGTCCAGAAAATTGAAACAGAAAGTGCCACATTTGCTAAGCCAGATTTCCCTACAACGAAGTCAATCATTGTAAGAAAAATTCCATTTCATACTGGAGAAAATGTGAAAAGAAAGGTTGAGACACTGATTTCTGAAGGGCTGGAATTAGAGAAATCAATAATAGTTAGAGCAGAACGCACTAAAAGCAGACAAGATAGTGTACCAGGTGTGGTGAAAGTTGAACTTACATCAACAGATACAAAGGTGAAAGCACTAAGGAACAAGTACCGCTTGAGAGATAAAACAAAATTCCAGAATGTGTTTCTGCATGGTGCAAAGACACATGAGGAACGATTAATCGAACTCAACACCAAAGAAATACTGAGAAATATGCCTGAAGGACACCAGTATACATTTACAGGGAGTGGCAGACTTGTAAAGAAGTCGGAGGTTAGGAAATGGGATGGACAAACAGTAACAGCTGAACAACAAGATAAAGATGAATGGAGCACATCAGATAGGAATGGGATCAACCAGACTCAAACAGAACCATCAAGAAACAGCTACAGACCTAGGGGCCGAGGTAGAGGATCACGAGGTAGCGGCAGAGGATCATGGCGAGAAGATAGAGACTGATCACACATACCTACACCTGAAATAAACATTGGGCTACTCAATATTTGTGGTCTAGCTAATAAACTACCTTTCCCAGAAACCATAAATTTCATCAAATAATATGATATTGTTATTCTGACAGAAACAAAAACTGACAAAAGCGATGATAAAAGACTTGATGATATTGTCTCAAAATTTGGATATAGACTTAAATTAAAAAACAGAGCAGCATTGTCTAAAAAGAAATCTGGTGGGATCGGAATTATTGTGAAGAGAAATTTATTTGATGTAATGAAATTTATTGATAGTGACTCAAAATATGTAATGTGGGCCACGTTACCACAAACTCACATAAGCACTAAAAATGATTTGCTGATTGGAGCTGTGTATGTACCTCCATACAATACCAAATACTCAAAACTGGAAGCATTCGATGAAATCGAAAGTGAAATTATGATGCTGAGAGGCAATAGGGAAATATGTCTTGGGGGAGACTTTAATGCACATACAAGCAATGCATTAGATATTCTCGAATATGAAACTGGTGGGGATTCTATACCCGATATTCAAACTGAGATTAATTGTAATAGTGCTAATGTAATAAAGGACACCTTACTACACTTAAATATGTCTATTATTCGCGCAAGTGTGGATGTGAAAATAGATTTGTATGGGACTCGACTGATTGAACTATGTAAAGCTCAATAAATGGTAATAATGAACGGCCGATGTGGCCTCGACAACAAGATAGGAAAATCAACAACCAGAGACATTTCCGTAATTGATTATGTAATTGTTACCGCATCTTTACTGTGCGAGATAAATGAATTTAAAGTGTGTGATTTTAATGGAATAATTTCGGACATACATTGTGGAATTGACTTTAACATCTCAGCCCCAATACAGCACAAACCCTCTGATTCACAACCTGGAATTAATGAACCGGCAAATCTACAAAAAAGACCAAAAAGATGGGAAAGTAATCAATCCACTTATTTTTGTGAAAACATTGAGGATTCAATGGTCGATACTATTACTGAAAAGCTGACCACAAATACCATCACCATTGAAAATGCAGCTGAATCAATAAATGAATTATTTTATAATGCTGCAATTACAACATTTGGTGCAGTGTCAATGAACCAGAAACCTTCAAGGTTGAAAAGGAAAAACCCTTGGTACTCAAATGAGTGTCAATCTCATAGAAAAAAATATCATAAATGCAAGACACAATTTTATCTTAATAAATCTGACTCTAATAAATTGGCTTTAATTAATTCACGTAAATCATACAAGAAAGCCATTCGAAAAGCAAGAACACATTTTAAGAGAAAACAGATCAAAGATCTAAGAACTCTTAAGAGTAATAACAGTAGAGACTATTGGGATATTTTGAATGAGAAAAAGAAACCGGAATGTAAGGCAGCTCTAGATTCCTTGTCTACATTTTTCAAAACATTAAACTATGATAATGTAAATTGTCAAAATAATAATGTTAACATGAATGATGATATATTAAATAACAATATAATAGATTGTTCTGATCTGAATTGTCAAATTACACCTGAAGAGATCAGGATGATAGTTAAAAACTTAAAGATGGGTAAAAGTCCGGGCGATGATGGTATAATTAATGAACATATTAAGTATTCAATATATAAGTTAATACACCTTTATACATTGTTATTCAATAAAGTTTTAGCAGAGGGGGTGGTACCAGAATCATGGCTTATTGGTATAATAATACCTATATTCAAGAATAAAGGCACTCGTTTAGACCCGGCAAATTATAGAGGAATCACACTTTTATCGTGCCTTGGAAAGTTATTTACTGCAATTTTGAATAAACGACTATACTTATTTATAGAGAAAAATAATATTATGAAAGGTAACCAATCAGGTTTCATGCCAGATCAAGGCTGCAATGATCAAATATTTAATCTGTATTTTATCATAGACATAATGTTAAATGTGAATAAAAAGAAACTATTTGCAGCATTTGTAGATTTCAAACAATGTTTTGATAAAATAAACAGAGTGGCATTATGGAAAAAATTGCTTGAATGTGGTATTAGTGGAAAGATATTAAACTGTATCAAAAATATATATGTTAAAGCAAAATCTTGTATTTTCGCAAATGGTCAAATATCCGAATATTTCCTTTGTATGAATGGCTTACGAACTGGTGAAATTCTCTCCCCTTTGCTTTTTTCACTCTTTGTAAATGACATGGAGGATTACCTCTTGAATAGTCATAAATGTAGCTATTTAAACTTAGGTCAAGACATTGAAAACTTTTGTAAAGTATTTTTACTCATGTATGCAGATGACACAGTTATTCTGTCAGACACAAGTGATGGGCTACAGAGAGGACTAAATGGTCTTAAGTCATATTGTGATATCAACAATTTGTCTGTTAACACAAAAAAGACAAAAGTTATTATTTTCTCTAAAAGAAAACCCAAGGGTTTATTTAGATTTACATACAATGGGGAAAATGTTGAAATTAATGATACATTTAAGTATTTAGGAGTTTTATTTTCATATAATTGTAATTTTAGAAAGGGTGTTGATCAATTGAAGAAACAAGCTGAAAATGCCATGTATGGAGTATTGGGAAAGTGCACAGAAATGAATTTACCAATTGATGTTCAATTAGAATTGTTTGATACGTTAATATTACCTATTTTGTGTTATGGCTGTGAAATATGGGGATTTTCAAAGGCTATAAAAACTTGTGAAGTCTTACACCTCAAATATTGTAAATACATACTCAGAGTTAAAGCAACTACACCCTCATTCATGATATATGGTGAATTGGGGCGCCACCCTTTGGAAATACACATTAAAACAAGAATGGTAAATTTTTGGGGTAAATTGATACAAGGTAAAGCAACAAGTAGTTCCATTTATAAAGCTATGCTGCAATTACATATAAGGAGTATATACAGCTCACCATGGTTAAGTACAGTAGAAAATATTTTAAATGACTGTGGATTTTCATATATTTGGAATAGACAAGAGTTTATATCAAGGGATGCGTTGAAGCATATGGTGAAGAGGAAACTAAAAAATCAATTCCTACAGCAATGGCTATCAGACTTAGATAAATCTAAAACTTCATTTTTTACATATTGTAACATTAAGAACAAACTTATTTTTGAACCCTATTTATGTCAACCAATAAGCACTAGATTATATATAACAAAACTTAGAACTTCAAATCATAATCTTCCTATAGAAACAGGGAGATACATAAAAAGACCAAGGTTAGAGAGATTGTGTACCAAATGCAACAGACTAGGAGATGAATACCATTATATTTTAGAATGTAAACTTTTTGAAGATGAGAGACTAACACTCCTTGATAGCTACTTCATTAGGCAACCAAATATGTTAAAATTTAAAAGTTTGTTGTCAAATATTAAATATTCTGTGCAATTAAGTAAATTGATGAAGATTATTGGTGGTAGTGAATTAAACTAAACTGTATTATCATTGTATGTATATGTACTATTTTATACTCACAAGTGTGGGTAGGAATAAAGAATATAAAAAAAAGAAAAAGTTACTGCAAAATTCTCGAAATCGTTGTTCCCTCTTCAAAAGAGGAGACGCTAAAATCTTTCCTTATAAGGTCAAAATATTTCCCATGATGCAGTTCGCGGAGGAACTAATTTATACTTCCTTGTTTTCCCTCATAGGTTTAACATGGGGATTTTCACACCTACTTTTCAAACGATATATTCCTTCATATTCCCGTACAAGAGTACAGAAAAAATTATTAGAAACGATTGATCTCTTATTAGTCTTAATATAACAGCTATTTTTTTCATTGTATTGATTCATAGCGTGGTGAATACGATGATTGAAAAGTGAGAAAATATTCCGGAAGAGAAGGTCACGTGATCAGTTGACTAGTCGCCATTTTGGAAAAAACAATTCCATCCGACTTTCAATACTTTCCTGCCAATCTTACCGCACTACAAACTGCAACATCGATGCAACAACGGAATAAAAGTATTCATCTTTAAATTACATTATAGAGTTACGTTGAAAACCCACACACAACTGAGCTGTAGACCAAAGAAGACGCATCGCTATTATCTAGGTCAATCTGTTCAGTGGTCCGAAAGCAAATCTATAATACTCGTTTCCGAATTTGTTGGTCATTGTACAATCTTTTATTGATTAAACTCGGTATACTGACTGTCATATTATTGATATATATGTATATGCTCCATACAGGTGAGAGTTCCCCGGGAATAAGTTGATGTACTGTGTAATCATTTCGTACAGTGTAATTCATACATTGGATTACGTCATGAATAAATAATTAGTTTAGAACTCAAATCTTGTTATGTAAAGTTGACATGGTGTCTAGATGTGTTTGTAAATTGGATTTACAACGATACTAGGAGTATTTGTCTCTTAACAACAGTGATGGCCTTTCGGTTAGAGCCTCCGCAAGCGTTTGATGTTACGCAACCCAGAGAATGGAGACACTGGAGGTCGAGATTCGAACGTTTTCAATCAGCTGCAGATTTGAAAGTTGGATTGGAAAATGGCGTCGCTAGTGTTGATTTGATTGACGATACGCAAGTGATAAATACATTGCTTTATTGCATGGGACTGAAAGCGGAGACAATATACAGGGTGGGCCAAAAAAAACCACCCCCCTAGCCAATATTTCTGATAAATATTCAATTTTTAACATGCACACCAACAATGATATATCATTTTAAAGATAATTTAATTTGCAACAGAATGATATATAATAGAACAATTTTCAACAACTCTGGCTCGAGATATAACCATTTATGTGACATGGGGGTCAAAAAACACCTTTTCAATTTTCATCGATTTTGCGAACAATTGCCTATTTCTACCAAATTTGAGTAAATTACAACATTATCATGAGTCTTTCATAATTGGATATTATATATTGTTTTCATTCAGTTTTTGAACCTTGCATGCTCAATATACATGTGTATGCTTATAAGATTAATTCATTTCTTCTTCAGTCTGTCCAATTATGGCTCAATAGACTCATCCCGGACCCAACTTCTGATTTGATTTCTCGCTTAAAACGCGAAAGCCATTGGTATAATTGATGGACCTCTGCAGAAGTACCATCCAACACCTAATTATTCATTCTTTCAGTATGTCTACACCCCTGATGGGCTAGTGATCTCCATAGATCAACTGTTCTAAATGCCCCAAGTACTATACATACATATAAAAAGGCTATACTCTATATCAGTAAGCAAGAATAGTGACATTTGCGATAAAAGGCTACTCAAATCGAGATGACATTTTTCTGAAAAGTAGGTGGTGTCCACTCAGTGTTTCCCAAAAAGGAAAGACCATACAGGCCCTGTTTTTTGAACCAGGAGCAAAAATATACTCTGAATGTTAATGACATGAGGTGGTAAAAAGGACTCCTCAAGAATATAAAAACATGTGAAAGAAATTTCATTTTCTGATAGAACAGTGCTCCATCACACAGGTCCAATGCTACCCTGAAGATTTGGGAGATTGGAAATGTCACCATCTCTAGCCCAAAATAATGGCTTACTAGCAGTCCAGTTGCTAATAATGTTGATAACAATACCTGGGAGCATCTAGAACAGTTAGTATTTAAATATACCCAGCCTATCAGGGATGTAGAGGAACTAAAAGAAAGAATAACTAGCAGTTGAATGGTACTTCCGCATACATCCATCAATTATGCCATCAACCAATGGCTTCCGCGTCTTAAGCGAATAATCCAATCAGAGGATGGGTCCGGGGGGTGGGTCTATTGAGCTATTTTTGGACAGACTGAAGAAGAAATGAATTAGTTTTATAAGCATACACATGTATATTGAGCATGTGTGGTTCAAAAATTGAATGAAAACAATATATAATATCCAATTATGAAAGACTCATGACAATGTTGTAATTTACTCAAATTTGGTAGAAATAGGCAATTGTTCGCAAAATCGACGAAAATTGAAAAGGTGTTTTTTGACCCCCATGTCACATAAATGGCCATATTTCTAT